ATGTATTGAGATTCTGTTGGATTGAGCACAGTTTCGCGGTGAATTTCTTCTGCTAATAATGAATAAAGAGTCATTATGGCGAATGACACTACGATAATGACTATGTAGAGTCGAGTACCAATACGCTGATATTGAACGTGACGATCATTGCGCGACTGATTCTCAAAAAGATTCAGTTGAATCACGAAATGTTTGAGACGTGCTTTCAGCTGATGCAATTGAGTGGATACTGAAAATAAGCAAATAAAAGACTTGTGGAAACTAGATAAGGTCAGAGATGGTTTTATATCTAGTACATCGAGACATAGTCTTTCTATCAAAGCCTTATGAGACAGCATTCCCAATTGTATAACATTTTTGGAGTCGGTATTCTCGCCATATGTAGGCGCGGTGTGTCTAGAAAAACTTTAGAAGATTATGTGTCCCGAGCATGTTAGTTAACAGTTGTTGTCGTTGTACTGAGTTTGCGCTCCATTGCAAGGAACAAATCGCGTGATGTTATTCTGATCTAAACCAATCCATAAATATGTCGAATTATAGCTGGAATCTGACACTCCATTGACTTGGATATGCTTTAGCAAAAAATGTTTTCGACGAACAGGTTCTTTAGACTCCTTCTGAAACCACGCTAGAAATTATGATAGTTTTTTCATCGGATTCTACTTTCTTTTTATCTTCTACTCTCTTTTTAGTTTTTATTAAAAACTGAATATCTTAGGAACCCAGCAAAACCTTAAAAGTAGACCTAATAGATACTATTGTAGTACAAGTGTTCACGATTCGAATGGCATACAGAAGTTTGCCTCACGTCTTAACTGAAGAAACTAGATAAGTTTACAGTCTTGTCCGATAGCACTTTCACATTTAACGAGCCCTTAGATCAATTTTTGCGCCAAAAATCTAGGAATTACTTCTACAGACTCAATTTGGGATGCAGAATCAAAAAATATTTTGGAATTTGAAAGAAAAGAGAAGTTACGAAAATGAAATTTTTTCCCAAAACTGACCGATAGTTTGATGAAGATATAACCAAAAAAAGCAACGAACATTGGACAACACTGACAATCATCAAGTAGTGGATTGTCCGAATACTTACGAGGTATTCGTAGAACAGGCTCATTGTTTTTTAATCTTGGCCACGATGTAATTCTAATAGCAGCTAGAATAATGAGCCTGAATACTAATGTTAAGCCTCCGAGCAAACCTATGACTTTTGTAAGCACGAACACGAAATTATGGCGTTCCACTTTCGAATAGGTACATGCAACAGGTGCACACTGAGCAAAATATTCGTTGTAAGAGATATTCTTTGTCCACTGTTCCACCATGCTGCGATCAACGATTGATTGTACTGTTGAATGCGGTTCGAAAAAACTCAGCTCGAGTGGCACCATTGCAGTGAAACTATCGTTTATAGACAGAAATGAGAGAATCTCATTCAGGCACGTCTGATTGAAGAAACATTCGAGTGTTGAGTGGAGAAGCGAATTCATTGGCAAACAGCCGGCAAAAAATCCGGGAAGTTTTATTCGTAGCCTAGAGGTGGTTTCAAGAGCGTCAGAAAAGGCAGAGGCGTTTGGAAACGCATCGTAAATTCCCGAAGGTATTCGACAATCATAATTATCATTACAGTAACATAAAGACCCGTTCGTCGTGAAGTATTGAACAGGCCAATATGTTACTATGCCGGATGACGCATCATCCGGCGGAATGTAATAAAACTCTGCAACTGTAGTAGTTTTCAATCCCGATATAAGTTGATTACCGAGTATCATCTGGTTTACCAGTTGAAATTGTGATAGAAAGGCAATGTACATGGTCTGTTGAAATTGTTCTATCGATGTTAGAACTGTCGACTCAAGGAGAACTTGAGACAGCACTTGAGAATTGATCAGTGAAGTGGCAGAGAAAGAGGTAACACTGTCTGTAACACTTCTCTTCGACAGACGACACAGACTGGCAAGTGCTTGAAATTGAGCACTGCCTGTAGCTCTGAAATCTCCTTGATAGAAATTCGTTGAGCTTGAACCAGAGAAGATGGCTTTAATCCATCGATCGGTGACAAAGTCACTTGAACAGACTGGATGAAGACTTGCTTCAACAGTAATAAAGTCTCCATATGAGAGAGAAAGGCGAGAACAAGGACACTGTGCATCAACGGGAAGGGCTCTGACCTGATCTTCGGTTGGATGGTGTAGCGTCAGTTTTGTTGTTTGCAAAGTCAACCATAAGCCGATAGCAAGACCGATCAAAGATAATATGAGCAAGGTAAGATAAATTCGAGTAGCAATTACGTTCAAGTAGTGATGATGCTCATCTTCATTAGTACCATCGGTCGGTTGGAAAACATTTAGGTCACGTACGTACGCTTTGAGAAAAGACATTGTTTTATGAGCAAAAATGAAAGAACTGACTATCAAAATAAAAATAACATACTTTCATTTTGAAATTAGTGTCTCTCAACCATTCATTCATATAATTACTCTAACTGACAAATGAGAAGCGAAACGTGTAAGAAAAATATATAATACTGACAGATATAATGACGCGCTTCGCTTCTCATTTGTCGGTTAGAGTAATTATATGAATGAATGGTTGAGAGATAATAATTTCAGAATGAAAGCATGCTGTTTATTTTTGATAATGACAGGCAGTTCTCTCATTTTCATTTTGTCATTGAATAAGCTCTAGTTTTTTCATTACGGATCAAAATTCGAGGCACGTGTGTTTTCGACTTCTCTCTCCGATAATGACAGTTCGAAAATAAGACAAAAGATATTTGAATATCTGAAGGATTTTCTCTCGAGCTAGATTTGGCTGAAAGCTCAACTTAAACTGCTAGGATGATGTTCTTTGAAAATGACGAATCCCGAAACTAAAACTTTGAATTTGACTGGAAAGTTGTGCAAAGGATTGAATAAAATGAAATGCCTCGGAAATCTTCATGCTGGTCTTCCATCGAAGTATACAAGAACATAAAGCGTCAGAGAGATTTTTAATAGAATGAAAGGAAAATACTTTAAATTGCCTGGTATAGTTGGATGAAAACGATTTTCGAGAGATCAGGAAAATGTTTGTCTTACTGGACAGACTTCTTACCAAAGACTTTTCCATGAAATCCAGTGGTCTGATTTTGAGATACTGACTTTTTACAAAGTGTCTTAATTATCCAAATCCTTTTTCCTTCTATTTTTTTCTGGTTATTATCATTCACCCAGGTCGAAGAATCGTACGAACGGATCATATCAGATCGAATATGATCAGATCGAATATGATCAGATACGATTGTACTGTATAATCGTACACCAACCGGTATGATCTAGAATAATCGTATAAATTCATACATACGAAATGGTACGATCGGCGTCCGAATCGTGGTCACTGAAAAGTCACAGGGTCCAGACTATGCGGTTCGTACAACAATCGTACGCACGATATTGTACGATCTGATCTGATCCTATGAGATCTTATGTGGGAAATAGTCAGATTAGATAAGATCGTGTCTGATTCATCATACGTCATCAAATACGATTTTATGTACGAAGGTTACATAATTCTGACTGTTTTTTGCTGGTTTCTCCTGCTAGTCTGCTTTTGCTTTTCTTGTGCGTTTTTGACGCATGAATCTTCCCTATTTGTTTCTTTTTCATGGCTTCTAATCATGTATGGGAGATATAAAAGGTTAAGAAAAAGAGTCGCTGGGTTAGAAAAACTGTAAAAATATTTCAGGTCATTGAATAAAGCACATTAAAACAGGAAAAAAGAATTTAAAAATACAAATAATATAAATTTCCCAATAAGAAAAATCAACGAACAGAACATTACAAAAAAGAATGTGAATTGAGATGAAAAGACGCGCTTATTTCGTAAAGAAATTTTATAGAGAGCCAAAAATAGAATAAGAGAAGCAGTCCTTTCGAGAATAAGTCTGAAAAAATGTGTCTTAAGACGCATTTTTTGGAGAGAATTCTCCAGCATGTGATTTTCTCTTTCCTATGCTGCTATATGTCTGGTTCTGACTCACCCTGACCCAACTTTCGAAAGTATGCTTACGCGAAGCTTCGAGCGCAAATCGTGTTGTCAAACTAACTAAATTCCTATAAACTTAGCGCTCGAGCAGTTTAGTGTCAGCAATATACTTGTAATACTAAACAAGTCATTTGAATTCGAAATTGAGCTTTTTATAATAACAAGTATAAATTGCAACAAAAGCAAAAAAAATGATCAAAAGAGTACGATTTCGACTCATATCATGTGAAATCATGCGACACGATCACGTACAATTTTTACCATTTTTACTACACGATTTTGTACGAATCATACTATACGATTTCATACGAAATATCTGACCGACATATAATCAGACCCGCACCAAGATCGTAGTATAAGAAATCATATGATCCTACCATACGAATCATATCACTTCTTACGTCTCGTACGATCTTGCACAATCCTAGTACGATTCTTTGACCTGGGCAGACGAACAGTAGAAACTACAAATATCTTAAACTTTATCCACTAATTTATATTGGTCTTTTAATTTTTTACTTCTTTATTGTTGAGGGTGAGGACGTTTGACAAATAATGATAAATCGAAGGAGAAGAAACTAAAGCAGAAAAACACAAAAAGGAAAAGGGAAGTACGGTAGATGACATAAACTTATACACATTCTTTTCTTTTTCTTCTTTTCTTTTAAGGTACAGAATTTTATTTTTCGTTTTTTACCATACTTGGATAGAGCACATCGAGTTGCATAGAAAAAACTTAATCTCACAATTTTAGAACACATTTTTCAGTTAAAAAAATTTTAAATATCGACTTTTCAAAAATATGTGAAAATAGGCAAAATTTTGAATAAAACTCAAAATTCAACCGTTCATTCTATTTTTAAAATTCCAAAATAATTTTTCTTATTCTCCATCAAAAACTGGGTCTAGAAAACGAATTTTGGAAATTTTAAAACTGAAATTTACTTCGAGAACCGTTGAAGCCGAGCAGGATGGTAAAAGGTTCGCTGGCTAATCTTACAAGCCTATCTAGTCCTCGGATCTGGAAGATAAAATTCTCTTTCATACTCCATTCTCACTTATATACTTATGAGAAAAAAATGTATGTACCGATTTTGAAGAATTTTACTTGATTGTCGAAATGTTCAATTTTTATGAATTCAGTGAAGAACTCTTTGAAATTGGGTTGTCCTTTGCCATTTTGACAAAATCAAGGTCATATTCAGCTTCAAGAACTGGGTTGAATGGCATGGGTACTAGGAGTTTTGAATGATCTCGAAGTTTTTCGTTTTTTTCCGGAAATCCCAAACTAAAATTTTCACTCAAACTCCAAATATTGCGCAAAAGACTGAGACCCATGTCATTCGATCCAGTTTTTGATCCTGATTCCGAGTATGACCTTGTTTCTATCACAGGGTTGAATTTTGACACAACAAGTTCGGACAACACAAAGAAAAAATTGCGTTTATCATGTTGTTCCCCCCTAATGTCCACGCCTGTGGACATTCTGTATTCTGTCACCTAGACAACTGCATTTTATTTTAAGTATGGAATGAGCACAGTGAGCACTCAAAAGCTCCACTTTAGTAGTCGCCTTTCCTGGATCTTCGAAAAGATCCTCTCCGGGGGTAAAGGATTAATGCATTTAATGGAGTTTACCAGCATGACAAAGCAACAATGAATTATTCGAAACAACTAAAAGATCGATCTTTGACAATATTAGTATCGACTACCGGTAACAGATGGCCTGATATTTTAGCAAATACAGCAGATAAAAAAGCATCCAACGATCAGTTGAATTTTATCCTCTGAATTTTATAACAGATCATCTACTCTTTTCTTGTTCTCATTCAACAAAGTGCGGTGCATCCATTTGAGAAACGTTATCCTTTTTATGTCGTTTCTTATTTACCAGGCCTGCATGCAAGGTTTTTATAGTGGGTTATATCCAATAAGAATTTCGTCAAAGAAAAGACAATTGTAAATGCTGATCTTCCGTCGTTAAAACATTTATTGATTATACAATATTTAGTTGACAAGCGTATTTATCGTTTTGCATCGGAAGCACGTGAATATCTAAAACCGATATTGAGTGGATTACGTACCAACCTTACACCGTTGGATATAACCACAACAATAGCAAAAAATAAAAGAACATGTAAGCTGTTTCAAATAATACATGGAGTATCGATATGCATCGTTTACAAGGGTTAAATGATTTGTATAATTGTACTAATGTCAAAAATATTCGTCCGTCTTTTTCCCTAGTGAGAAAGTCAATATTCGGTTTCAGCTTTCACCATATCCTCTTGACTGTAATGACTACTTTTGTTATTATTAAATTAAAACGATGAAAAGCAGATCTAAATGAAGAAAGATTATAAACTTCATAATGTAATTTTATTTTTTCGGATCATGAGCGGATAAGAAAAAAAGTTTTAAATGGAATTTTTTGAAAAAAAGGCGTCTGACGTAATTAGAAACACACTATAAAAATTTACTTGAAAAACTTGTTTCAATCATGAGGTATTTTTGGTATTTCTTAGTAACTTTTGTCAATCAAATTCCTTCTGAAAGAAATTAGTTTTTCAACATTTTCTCTTTACAACTAGTGAAGACCAAAGTCTGATAAAATTCCTTCAATGTCTTTTTATTTATCTTAGCAGTATTTGAAAGACGTGCTGCGGATTTAATAGAACATATTAGTTGTGTTTTTCAAAATATTTTTGATATTACTGAAATTTATGACGCAACACCTATTATTAAATTCGGCGAAATAACAAGACAAAATTTAACTGATATACAAATAGCTATTAGAAATAAACAAGATCTTGCAACACAATCACAGACAGCAAACTGTGATGATATAATATATCTGAAAGAACTGGATAAAATAGTAATTAATTCAGTAAAACAACCGTCAAACTATTTATGATGAGATTTTTTTCTAAACCACTATACTGCTAAAGAGTTGTTCTTCCAGTACTTCAAATTTTATAAATTTTAGAGGATAAATTCGATTATTTTCTGTACTCTTATCGGATTGTAGAAGTTGCGTGGTGCAAAGTTTTCCATGATTAGAAAAACGTTTTGCATCTTGCGTTTAAAAACTCTGATCTATGAGAGTTCAAGTGAAGTCCATTCTCCTAGGCTAGGCATGCAACGGTAACGATTCACCGATTATCGGTCCTTACCGATTCACCGATTATCGTCTCACCGATTTAACGTCCAACTCAAATCAAACACACTTCATGAATGTAAGTGTGATTATGTAGAAATTGTATTTCATTTCTTATGAAATGAAAACACTATTGAAATCTACTCTACTGACTCTTTCAGCTGATAAAATATCAGGCGAAAAGCATTGACTTTGATCGTCCTTTGGAAGGTTACACTGTGAAAGTCTTTAACTTTTCCACATTTGTAAGAAGACGAAAGCCTTGAGACTCTTACGGTAGTTCCTTTAATAAAATTTGGATTAAAACTGACTGAGTTATGAAGAATAAATTGAACATATACGTGTTGAATCTCTATAGACATTGCCAAGAATCGAACAGAAACATATCTTTTAGATATACCGTGCATATCTGAGA